TTTTGTTGGCGCTGTGACTTTCGTTAACCGCAAAGGCAACGAGGAGTTTTATTTTTATTTTTATTTCATTGTTCACTGCATTGGCTGCTTGCGTAATATTTGATTGTAAATGAGTATTTATGTAAACATTAGCTTAAATTGTTTGTGCCAAGTTCACTTTTTGTAAATAAAAAATAGGCCTTTTACCACTTACTAGTGTGTTACATATGTATGTACGACTCTTCTTCAGCGTTGTTGACTGTTTGGTTGCTTTCAAGTAAATTTTCATATTTTCTTTAAATTTTCGCAAGATTTTATCAACAATTGTTGTAGAAAATAGATACTTTCGTACCTGAAAAATTAAGGACCATTGTAGGCAATGCGAAAGGACAGCAAGTTCGTGGCGTAAGTCTTTTGTGACAGGATACTTTATAGGTAGTAAAAAGTAAAATTTTCAGTTTGGACTTAATTTATTTAATATTTTGGATATCTCTTTAAATTTTGATTGCACTCTCTCAATGCTTGCTGCAAATGTTGCTCATTTCTACTTTTCAGTACGCAAATTAAGAAAATCAAAATTTTCAACTTTTAAATTGAAATTAGTGTAATCTGGTAACATTTTTCAAAAATTGCGACCACAAAAATGGCTCTTGTAACTAAGTGACATTTTTTCTTTCATACGAATATTCTAACAAAACTTCATACAAACTTTTTTAAATAAAACTACATATTAAAAAGTGACCCATTTAGACCGCTCAGTTGTCAAGGACTAATATTTTTTTTTTTACAAAAGTGTCGGAAAAAATATGCTTATCAATAGAAAACTCATGTTTTTTGTTTTAAATCATACAGTACTTATTAATCGACTTCAAAAAAATGAGAGAGTTATCAATTCGTCGGCATATTTGTTTTTATGTAAGTACGTTACCACACAACATTGGACCGATTTCTATAATTCTTTTTTTTTTTTTAAGGAAAGATGGTAGCTCAGAGGTGGTCCCATACTAATATGTTTTAGATCCGAGAAATTAAGGGTACTCTTAAATTTTACATAGTATGACAATTAAAGTCGGGTTTGTTTTTTGCTTAAAAGTTACTTGTTTTAGCCGTCACTGATTTTGGCCAGAAAAACAGGCCTTTTTGGCCATAGTGCATTGCCGAGAATTTCAAAGCAGTTTGTGGTAAAACAAATTTGTAATTTTCCAAAAATTTAATATATACTTAAATAAAAAATCTATGATAAAATGCTTCAAAGCTTACCAGAATTTAGTTTTTCACAGAAACGGGCGGGTTTCAGAGCAATAACCAATCTCACTTCAGGAACTTGGAAATAGACTGACGAAAGTTGCAATACTCGGAAGGCCTTTTATTCAAAAATGTTCCATCTTAGGTAATACTTAGAAAGTTATAGTTAATTAGTTTTTGTACTTTATCTCCTAATACAGATCATGTAACCTTTGTTATCCCAACGTAGATATGTATGTATTTGCTCATGTGCAAACTAGTATCAGTTAGTTTATGTTTAACATCAAATTGTGAATGATTACACAGGTGAAGCATATAATCGCGTCAACATTTCGTAGCCTAAGGTACATTAAATATTTAATATCAAAACGGTTTTATTGCTCTACTTAGTCAACAAATATAACCGAACTTTTTGATCGCATCCATTGTCTATGGTTTTACTTATTTATTTTAATTAAATAAATAAAGTGGAATGCTCTGCGGCGCCTTTGCCAGGTAAAGTACAAAAAAAAAGAAAAATGCCTCACTAGCCACATTTATGAAAATTTTCCGATGAATAATATTAACAGGAATGGCTTAACTGCAATTAAAGCAATTTTAGAGGGTAGAGAACTAAAACTTTGTTTATCATTAATATGATTTTAGTCGTTTAAGATTTTTTAAGGACAGAGCAGATGCTGCTCAGATGAAATTTTAATAGAACCCTCTTTAATGGAGCGCACCTTAAGTGAGCTGTTGGGTTAGGCAACGCCTTGTTTGGGCGGTAAACTACATCAAGCTCTTAATCTAAGTGGTTAAATCCCTAAGCTTTAATGGGTGGCGTGGGTTGTTTTCCTACGCAGGGCTAGCAGAAGGATTTGTTTGATTGATCAGCATTTTCCAATAAAAAAAAGTCAGTCCAGCGCCTTTGTTTTGACATTCGGGCAGTGTCGGAGCCTCAGCCGCTAAACTTAAACGTAGAATACGTGATATTATTAAGATCACATTCAAGTTAAAAACGGTACATGAAATATCACAAACCAATTTTGTTTTGTTTGTGTTAATACGTTGCAACGCTCCTAAATACAGTTCAGAAATATCACCTTTTATTTTATACCCATATTTTTAATAATCGATTCAAATTATTAAATTATTTGAGCTTACCTTTTTAAATAGGTGGCAACCCTCCACCTTCGTTTTTACGTCATATTTTAATATTTCATTTAACTTATGCATACTTTAATTAAATTCTTATTTTAAAACAGGTGGCAACCCTATTCAAAATATTTTAAAACCGAAACATTGTTAGAGCTTTTTCGACTGACACACATATTGCGATACATATTTAAATTGTGTATTTAATTCCCTTATTTGAAGTTGAAATTAATTTCTAAAACATATGGCAACCCTCTTAAATAAAGTTCAAAAAAACAACATTTTTAAACCATGCCAATTTAAATTTCATTTGACTTATTAAATAATTTGAGTTTAACTTTTACACAGGTGGAAACCATCTTCAATATTATAAATGCTCAAACTAAACATTTCGTCATCCTACTCCTTTGTTTGACGGCAATATTTTTGAACAGATGGCAATCCTGCTCAAATTTTTTCAAACCAAAACCTCGTTAAACCCTTTTTGTCTGACTTTTGTATTGTGATACATATTTATATTATCTAATACTCGTAATTTGAATTACATTTAATTATAAAATCAGGTGGCAACCCTCCTACATTGCAAAGTTTCTTCAAAGCAATTTTGATTTATATTCATATTGAAGAAATTTATTTAACAAATTGCTTATATTGAATCTATCTTTGTAACAAGAAGGCAACCCTCTGCAAAATATTTTCAATTCACAACTTCCTTCTTAACCAAATTGGTTACTTACAAAAATGAATTTTTCGATCGGTTTGGAATTTTGTCTTTGAAGCGCCACACTTTTCTTTGAGATCGCTTTATTAGTTCTCGTGCAATAAGCGTTTATGTGAAGCTCTAAAAATTACAACTACAACATTTGAGCATAGCCTCCATATCGAAACGTAAGACGTATTCTATGTCAAAACATTAAAAAATTGAGTTTTTTATGAATAAAAATAGCTTCTTAAAGAATTGTTTGAAAAAAATCCTCTTAGGGCCAAGTTCACAGTGCGTAGTTAACCACTGATAAGATTTAACTATTGATTTTCATATTCACAACGCTCAGTTAACAAAAGTTTAAACCAGCATGCCCCCATAGTTAAACTCTTGTGAAATAATTTTTTTTTTTTGTGGAACGAATTTCAAATTTGAATAGAAAAGTATTGATTTTAAGAATTTGTATATTTTCAGGCGATACGAATTTCCATAGTTAACTATGTGACTCTGAATATAAATTCATAATTAAACTCTTGTTGGTGGTTAAGTTGACAATGGTGTTTAGGCGCGTCTGCTAACACCAGGCGCCTAAATACGTGCTATGTACTGCTGCATGTGCAAAAATTTCCTTTATGCAATTTAGGAAATTTTTGCACATGCACTTCTCAACTGCCATGTAATTGAACTTTCTTAAGTTCTAATTAGATGGCACTTCAAAGTATGCTCTGCCTAGTCGGATGCATCCTCCGGACACTGCTTCCGGAGCATTTTGCGGACTCTGCATGACTTACAACCATGCAGAGGTGGCAAACGAACTTTGCCATTGGCCACAGTGCCTACCCACCATTTTTGAACCAATAAATATTTTTTTTTTTTTATATAAATACATACATGCGAACATACCGGTCTCCCCTCTCACTGAGTTATTCAATGGTTTAACTAATCACTGTGAATTCGGCCCTTAGATGACAAAGCAGTTTAAGCTTAAAAAATCTGCATAAAAATATTATTTTTTTTTTTAACGGAATTATAACAGCGAGATTTTTGTCGCCGTTTATTAAATTTTTTCGAAGATTGGATAAACAACCGTCATTCCAAGTTGAATTAAGATGTGTTGATATATGTAACTAAAAATTTGGACGTGACTGAGTTTTTTTGCAAAGAAATAAAAAGGATGAGAAAATTACTTTCTAATAATAACTCACAAGTCTAAATCGGAACAGCTTTGGTCCAAGTTATTCAAGTTTTTCTTAAGCCAATCTTTGAAAATTTAAGAAAATAGCATCAAAAATCCCATTATTACCTAAATTTTGGTTGATCCAATGCTACACCGACCGGCTATGAGGTTTATTAGAATCTTATAAAGCTTGGATTTCATTTATGAACTTTTGCATATATTTAAATAGACAAAGAAACTAAAAATTCTTGAAACTTACCCGCTTCGACGAGCAACGCTTTCCAATGCGGCACTTCAGAGAGACGCGCATCCGCAACCGAACCAGCAGTACCGCCACCAATCACAAACAAAATCGTATTCACTGGCGGGTTCCGAACGAAACGTATTGAAAAACTTGCAGATATTTTAGATTTATTAAGTGAATTATATTTTTGTTATTTATTAACTTTTATTTATTTACGTATTTTCTAGTTGGCTTACCCTCGTAGTGGCACGATCACAGGGATCCTCGATATCGCATTGCGAACGCAGAAGTGCCGCAAGCATACCCATGAAGAGCACGTAGGCGGACGGAGGCCAACGATGGTGTGAGTGGTGAAGTCATCGGACCACCGCAATTGCTCATGGGGGAAGACATATTGCTGCTGTAAGGAAAAAGCGAACGAATAAATTAAATTAGAAGCAGTCTAAATTTGCGAGCATAAAGTGATAATGAACCAGGTTAGGGATTATATGGACACTCAGGTCACCGCTAGATAGGGTTTACAGTCCTATTACATCCCAAAAATATGCCACAGCAATGGTGCCCAAATATCTGAATTAAAAATTTACACTAAATATTAACGCTAATAGCACTTTCAAGTTCAAAATTGCCACATAACAGCCGAGCATTAACTAAAAGGTAGGTGTGTGCAGCTCCTGCGGAAGTCATTGTGTGGAAACCCTAAACTCTATTCTTCCGCTTGCCGATGGCAGGCCTATGGCTGCAGCTATCTTTTTACGTTCTATTCTGGCCACATGAGTTACGTCTTGCTGCAAGTTTCAAAAGCTAGATCCCTTAGAATGAGCTTTCAGGTAGCAGGTGACATGTCTTAAATCTAGATGACTGCGAAAGTGGAACGAATGTGCCTGGCATGTTCCGATGCCCTGACCCCTATACCAAGTGCGAAGCAAACTGCTCAGCCCTCCCGTTTAGAGATATGTGGAAGCCCGCCAGTTTTTGAGTAGCGTGTGGCCGAGTCAAGTGCTTTGAGCACTGCCCCTGGATGTCTTTTCGAAGGGGGGATCTTACGTAGATACCGCCAACCACGTGACGGCATGCACGATTCATACTGCTCGCTAAAGGTACACCTCATTCGGGACCGCGCACAGACAGTGTTAAACATCTTACTATACTGGACTTGCGAAACAGTACGCCTACGTACTAAACCCTTAACTCCGACTTATGTAGCTTGTATTTGGACCTGCGGGACCGCCGTTATACATTACTACGCACGTGTTATCACATGTGACCTCTCCTGTTTGTAAGTGTTTAACCACCTCTTGTGGCTTGTGGAACAAACCTAATATATATTGGCAAAATGTTGAGCAGAATACACATAAATAGCCTCTGAAGGAGTTGTGCGTAGAGCCCAAAAAATGCATAAGAACGTAGTTCTTCGCACTTCTTGAAACGCTTAGGTGATTCCTGGTTGAGATTTTCACCACGAGCCCAGCACTACGTAGTGCAAATTATTATTTTGCGAATTCTTTTACACCCAAAAAAAAAAAACTTCTCTTAATTGAAGAAAAACAGCAATCAAAATGAAGCAAAATGGGAACGAAACAGCACTAAAGAAGTTTTATCTTCTTTTCATGCCCAAGATTCCTTCAAAATGATAGATTACATCCACGGTTCCATATTTTCGTGTACATTTTTACACATTCCAAAGAAAAAATACGCATTCGGGAGAATTTTTTACTCATTCGGAAAAATTTTCGACCTTAAAGTAAGGAAAGTTTTTCTTTGGTCCAGAGATGGATTTTGGGCGTCGTAATAGGTTCGTTCGCGTAGCTGTTAATTGTTCATGTTTAACCAAAACTTACAAGTTTTTGCGTTCGCGTACGCAAAAAACTTGCAAAGTAGGGGAAATTGAGAGAGCAAAGTGACATTTCATTTTGAGGGGAAGCTGCTGGTTTCTGCTGGAAAAATTTTTGCCAACAGCAATTTGCCAACAGGAAAACAGCTGATCAAAAACAGCTGGTTGGCATTTACGCAAATCACAAAATTGAATTTGATGGTTTGGAAGTTAAAAATTACAAAATGCGACTAATTAAACTTGTAAGAAATAAGTAGTTATTTGTTTAATCAATAAACTGTGTCAGTATAACACTTTGCGATGACTTTTCGTACGTTTTAAATTTTACACTTTTGAATGTAAACAAAAATTATATCAGCTGTTTGTCTAACTTGCAAGTTTCTGCAAATTTTCTGTTCGCGTACTATTTTGGATATTTCTCTCTTGTGAGCGAACAGATGACATTTCGCCGGAATTTGGCAGTTGGTTGGTTTCTGTTGGAGATTTTAAACGAACGCACCTATTGTCTGTGAAGAAGAGCTGCAGTGTTGGGATCTTTTACTTTCTAGTGCAAAGCAACAGGTAATTTTTGCCTGGATTTACTCGCAGGCCTTGCTTTGTGGTTCACCTTTCAACTAATCTATCGACATCTTACATTTTCGTTAAATATTGCGGCCACTACCAAACATCACAAGAGAGGCGAGAGTACACCGGTCAGGGGCATCCGCCACCAAACTTTGATGCGGTACAAACCAGGAGCGGATCCAGAGGGGGGATTTTGGGGGTTAAACTGCGTGTCAGTCAGTGGCGGACCCAGGGGGGGTGTTTTCATACATAGATTCCATATTATACATACATATGCGCCATATTAAAACACACCCCGTGCGTCCGCCATTGACTGACATGTAGTTTAACACCCAAAACCCCCCCGCTGGATCCGCCACTGGTACAAGCGCTATCTTCTTTCCCCACAGTCAGCAATAATCGAAGAGCAAGTACCAAAGGAAAAGTCTGCCAAAATCTTTGATTGAATGGAATTTGCGACAAGGGTTTCAGGTTGATTGGGCTGAAGCTGTGTGCTGGCGCATAGTCATCCCTTCACGCCTTTACCCTAAAAAGTAAGAATATAGCTAAGGGAGATAAAGTCCCCGAAAGAAGTTAGAGAAAATCTTAATGAATCATCAGCCACTAGCCGTTATGCTGCCTTTTGTGCCAGTTTTGTTTACGCTAAGAAAAGTGTGCAGTTACGTCAACTAAATAGGTTTGTTCATCGAGCATAAACTTTGTACGAATTTGTAGGAGTTATCATGATTTTTGCCCAAATCGCGTTCGTGCAGACCAAAAAATTATCCATCACTTAAAAACTGAGAGCGAAAAGTAACAGTTCTTCTGAGAGAAGTTGCAAATTGTTGCTGGAAAAATTTTAGACAATCACGATAAACATATGATTGTGGCACATGGTTGCATTTTTGTCTACGATAATTTGTATAAATAATGTAAAAATCGAAGTATACTTATTTATATATACTTGTTGATAATTAATTTAGTTAATTCCAATGATTTGAACTTAACTCGGCTGAAAAAAATTGTATTCCCAATCGGAATGCAATTGCAACCAGAGTCGATTTAAGAAACCCGACAGCTAGTACGATAAAGAAATTGAAATATATGTTAAAGAAAGTCAGAACAAGAAGAATTATACATACATGTATATCCTGTTTTTGTCCATCTGAAAGAATTTTAAAAATTCTATACAAATTTATTATGTTTGAAATGCAACCGTGGACACCAGCTGGCAGGGAAACTTACACTATTCTATTCCTACAAATTTGCGTTCGTCCAGAAATTTGCAAGCTTCTCAACATGAGAGAGAATTTGAGAGAAATTTTTCTTACTCTGTGATATTTTGAGTGTTGAATAATTCTTGCTGGATTTTCGACGAACTAACCTAATATGTTTCTCTTAAAAAATGATTTGGTTATACTTGGTTACCCAACCATGTGGCTTCTAACTTTTTTCTGAGTACAGTTTTGACTCCAACAAATGACCACATTGATTTTATTTTAAATATTCACAATGTTTTTCATGTGAAATTTTTCTTGTTGTTTTTTCTATAAAAATGTTCTCTATGCTTTAACCAAACTACATATATGTGGCGGCATTTTTATGTTCGCGAACATTGTGGCAACAATTCGACTTTCCCGACTAAATGCAACCCTGCGCTAATTTTCCAATTGCAAAATAAAGAATCAATCTGGCGTCACTCTAATTGTTCATCCGTCCTTCTTTTTCTGCACTCTATCATCGGATTTAAACGTGCTTGCCTTAATACAAACGCGAATTACTAACTTAAAATTATCCTTTTGAAATCTGAGCATAAAAGATTAGTAGGTAAATAAAATTTTATTAAATACTATTCGCCTGTTTGGTTTATTTCAACGAGTTATTTGTGTGGTAAACTCAAATACAAAAACCTCCATATATGTATATTAGGGTGGGTCAATTAGTAGGTCAATTAAAAAAGTTGATTCATATCCTTGCGATTCTGGTACTATGGACCATAACAAACATTTTCGCCCAAGGAACCATACCTCTAAAATCATTTTCGAGCCTGCCAAAATTTTTTGGTAGATATTTTCAAAAATACCAAATAAACGACCTCTTAGATGCATTTCAAAGACAAAAAAATATTATTGAAAATGTGTATACGGGGGTTTTTTGGGTCAGAGAATCCATTTTTCGCATTAATTTTTAATTTTGATCGCCACCAGAGTGCGTTTTTGAACAATTTTTTGGATTTTTCACTTTTTTTGGGGGAAATTGACGAACTTATTGCTCAAATAGTCAAATCTTTGACTTTCTAATAATTTAAAATAATGGAAAAATATTTATTTCTTTATTTTGCTTTATTTTTTTATTTTTTATTTTTTTTATTTTTTTTTAATTTTTTGGCGATCAAAATTAAAAATTAATGCGAAAAATGGATTCTCTGACCCAAAAAACCCCCGTATACACATTTTCAATAATATTTTTTTGTCTTTGAAATGCATCTAAGAGGTCGTTTATTTGGTATTTTTGAAAATATCTACCAAAAAATTTTGGCAGGCTCGAAAATGATTTTAGAGGTATGGTTCCTTGGGCGAAAATGTTTGTTATGGTCCATAGTACCAGAATCGCAAGGATATGAATCAACTTTTTTAATTGACCCACCCTAATGTATATGAATCAAAGTTTCGAATATATTAATCTAAATTTTTAGAATATTTTTCTACTGAAAAATGTTGCCTTTTGGGTGCCCTCTACGCACAAATATTAAGGAGAGCGCAACGAAAGGGCAACATCTTTTGTATGTAGAAAAGAAAACGCCATTAGTCGAATAAAGTGTAAGTTTCAAGCGGCTAAGAAATCGCGTTGATTTAAAATATTTTTTTTTTTTTGCTGACGGTTTTTTGCACTTTTTTCTATCTAAAGCCCTGTATGCAGCTCTCAAGAAAACGGTCAAGAAAAAATTGCCATTATTTCGCGTGTGTGTCAAAGGAATTTTGACATTTATGATACCTCACAGCCTGTTGCCTCACTCTTTCCTCAAGAAATAATGGAACGGGCATATATTTCTATTGCAAGCCTGGGTTGCCTTGTGCTCTTTTTTCACAAAAAACTTTAGAAAACCGTAGTAGAAAGCGTAGTAAATTTCTTAAGAACTGCGTACTGCCTTAAGGAAATTTGACTCAAAAAATTTCTTAGCCATTTCTTGTACGTCATTTTATATGGAGTTTTTGCTTTTCTTGAGAGCTGCATACCGGCCTTAAGCATGAATTTTTTAGGAAATAAAATGCGGAGGATCGTTCGCAACAAAATTTCAAAAAATCAACGATAGTTTTTATATATTAAAAAAATTGTAAATGCAATAAGAATTTATAAAATTTGTTGGAAATTTTTTTTATATGTACATTACCTCCAGTTGTTGGTAAAAGCTGCGAAATTTCAAGTAGGTGTTTTTTTAATGATATGAATTTTCGAAGTTTGAACATTTTTTTTTGTAAACTCTAAGTAAAAGATGTGGTGAGAAAGTTGGGGTGTGGTGAGTTAAGGTGTGGTGAATTACAGTGTGGTGGATTTAGGTGTGGTGAATTAAGGTGTGGTGAATTTAGGTGTGAAGAGTGAAGTAGTGGTGGATTTAGGTGTGGGGAGTTAAGGTGTGGTGAACTAATGTGTAGCGAACTCAGGTGGAGTAAGTTTTTAAGCGGAGGTGAGATGAGTTGAGGTGAGTTAACTTAAGTTAAGGGGTTAAGTTAAGATAATTACTTTATCCTTATCTTCATATTCATCTTCATCTTCTTCCTCGTCTTGGTCTTCATCTTCTTCTTCATCTTTATCCTTTCCTTTATCCTGATCTAAATATGTCCATTCTTTGCTTCATTTACATATTCACCCCCACCATTGTTATTAGGTTAGGTATTTAAATTTTCCTTCCTCTTTGTCTTTATATTTAGGTTTCTTTACTTTTATTTTAATTTCTGTATTTATCCCTTTCTTCTTCTCCATACTCAAAATTATCCTTCATCCTTGTTTGAGGCTAATCTATTCATGTACATACATACATACATCTTATTCCTAAACTGCTGCTTAGCACGTTTCTTTAATTCACTATCAATATTAAAGCATACATTTAGGAGGCATTTCCGCCCCAACCATGTACATGTATGGCATTGGTATTGGTGTGACTTTTGTCAGGTTAACCGAGTTTTATTTAATAATAATATTAATACAAAGTAGAAAATGTATGTCAGGTTAAATTACAAGCTTTTATCTTATGACCGGCGCGCTCCGCGGTTGCTACAATACTCTCTGATTACGACTGTCGCTTCTTGACAGCTCGTCGGTAGGTGTTGCCATCTTATGTTGTAGGGGAGGGCGCTGCCATGTCAGTTGACAGTTCGGCCTCTCCTGACAATGACATCGTCCCGATGTCCGCTGATTCGTCGTTTTCGTCGTCGCTCTCACCATGATACCCATCGAGTTCAGGAGGTGAGGAGCACCAAAGCTTTAGTTTGTCAGATGAATAAACAGACGTGAACCTTTTCTGACTCACTTGCATGCCATCGATATCATGTAGCAGATATCGGTCTTTACCAAGAACTTTAGCAATGACGTACGGCCCTCGGTACTTCGGCTCAAGTTTTCGAGATTCTCCAGTTGCAGAAGGCTCATGCTGTACTACAACCAGATCATCAACACTGTAAGTGGTAGGTTCTTTATGTTTTCGGTCGAACCGTTCTTTCCACTTGTTACGCTGTTCTTGCATGGATGTCAACGCCAAGTTTCGTTTCTCAGTGATGGGTTGATTGACATCGGTGTCGATTACGGCAGCTATTAAGTGGTTACGCGTTATGTCATTCAACTTGAAGTCGAAGATTAATTCATTCGGACTAAATCCGGTCGTCGCATTTTTCTGTGAATTAACGCCTCATTGTAGCTTGCGTAGCTGCTCGTCCCAGTCTCTGGGATCTGTTGTCGTTGTTCGTAGATAGTTCAGGATGATTTGATTCGCACGCTCCACCTGTCCATTAGCTCGGGGAGTGCGAACAGCGGTTTTTATATGCTGAACACCATTATCGTCGCAATATTTTGCGAATTGCTTCGAAGTGTACGCAGTGCCACGGTCCGTGACAATTCGTGCGGGTAGCCCAAAATAACTGGATACCTCATTTAACATTTGCAACACAGGCAGAGTTTTGGTGTTGCGCACGGCTTTCACAATCAGGTACTTGGTGAAGCCATCGCTGACGGCGAGAACATAGGTGTACCCTCGCTTACTTTTCACAAACGGACCCAAATGGTCAATGTGCAAAAGTCTAAACGGAACCGGTTCAGTTGGTTCGATGTGTAGCACACCCTCAGGCTTACCTCCTTTCGTTTTATTATAACAGCAGTCGATGCATGATGCGATATAGTCTAGACGTATTTTCTCATCCGCGGAAACCAGAAGCTTTGGAGAATTCTCTCCATTGTCGTCTTCACACCAAAATGACCTAGTTCATCGTGACAATACTTGGTGACGCGCCATCGTACAGTCTTGGGAATAACGTACAGCAGGTTGTTGCCACGTCGTCGATACAATCGATTACGCTGTATACTGTAATCTTTCTGTAGTTGCTTGGTCTGCGGTGACTGCTTCAAACATTTCAAAATGGCTATGATGTCACGTATGTAGATCGGGATCCTGCAATTGCATAGTCAGCAACCAATCGTCATCTAACACGTCGACTTGGAGTACGGTTTCACATTCGGTTGGCGCACGACTCAGCGCGTCAACATGAGTCATTCGTGACCCAGCGCGATGGACAACTTCACAGTTGTACTCCATCAATCGTACCAACCATCTCGAAATTCGTGGAATCATTGGAGTCTTCGCTTTCAATGCAAGCGTA